AATCCAAGAGACTCTGAGAAAGGCCAAAGAGGACTACAAAAAGCAAGCTGATAAAGGGAGGGCTCCTGAATGGAACTTGCAGCCTGGGGGCTCAGTGTATCTCTCAACAAAAAATCTGGGAGGAAATTGGGGTGGAAATATATTGGCCCATTCAAAGTGTTGAAAGTCTTGAACAAAGTGGCTGTAGAACTACCCTGAGTCAGTGTGAGCCAGCTCACAGTTTTTTAGCCTCCGGCTCACACATTTTTGTCCTAGCTCAGGAAGGAGGGCTCCAGAACAAACTAAATTATGCAGGAGCCAAATTGCTCGCTCACAACTTTATTGCAAGTAGCTCACAAAGTAGAATTTTTGTTCACAAGACTCCACAGCTTAGAGGGAACATTGCCCAAGACTCTAAAGCATATTCACCCTGTATTTCATTTCAGTCTGCTAAAAAAGGATCCGGGCCCGAACAAATGGAAACCTCGTCCAGCTGCCCCACCTCCTCTGATGATAGATGGTGAACCCCACCACAAAGTAGAAGAGATCCTTGATTCTAAGTTGAAAAGAAACCTACTGTACTATTTAATCAAATGGAAGGACTTTGAAGAATAGCATAATGAGTGGGTGAAATGTACACATGTTAGAGCCCCCTCTCTAACCTGTGCATTCCATAACAAATACCCTCACAAATCGAAGGGGAAAGAGGTCTTGGGTGGGCAGTATGTCAGGCCCCTTATGCATTGTACAGCTTGCCTGCCATTGAGAGAGGAGGTTCCTCTCTCTTTGATGCGCCAGAGGCTTGTCACCTTAGTGGGGCCAAATGCCCTGGCTTCTCAAATGTCTGTTGTTCTGTTTTTCTTGCTATGTAGAGGCTACGTGTCTGAGGGGGGGTAGGGCAACTTTTAGTTTTGGCAGGAGGGATGCTCTGGGAGAGGTATGTGCTTAGTGGGGGAGCAGTTGACTATTAATTCTGGCAGGCAAATACCGTGGGGTGATTGGGTCCTGATCTTTAGTGCTTTTACTTGAACCCACAATAGCTGTAACCTTCGCGCGTTCAACTTCAGTCCTAACAATAGCTCATGTCCAGTACAGTATCTGTCAAAGTCTCAATAAAGTTAGCTTTCTTCAAAGGGACTGGTGTTGAGAACTGATTTAACCAGGATCTTGACGCTTGATATCGTTTAGAGGGCTGTTGTCCAAATAATAATGAATATGTCTTGGCAACACAAACTTCAGAAACGTGTGCGCGCCTGTGTGTCTTGCTATCATTAACAGCCTTGGTCAGTTTTTCAAACGGAAGCCTGGGGCTTCCTTCATTGAATCAATCTGTATTTTTCCTACCGCCTTCAACTTTTCCTAGCGTTTTCTTTTCCAGTGAGTCTTCTAATGGTGTGACCAAAGTACAACAGCCTCAACTTCGTCATGTTAGCTTCTAGCAAGAATTCAGGCTTCATTCCAAGCAGCACTCACTCATGAATCATTCAGAAGGCGATCCCCCCCCAACCATCATGTTTTCTCAGCAGTGTGTATACCATTAAAAGAATGCAGGTTTAATCACATTCTTTTTCAAAACAGTTTCATAACCCAACTAGATTGTCTAAACTGACTAAATGGTTGTTTCTACAAATCTTAAGGTTTCACAAAACAGAAATATATTTATTCATTATATAATAGTGAAGAGAGAGGAGCAAGACCCGGGCCAAGCTTAGATTCAAGAGTGTCCTGTATATTCAGAACTGAACTAATGATGGGGTTGGTTGTTACCAGTTTTCTTTGATTCCCGAAGAAATCTCTCAGATTTATACCATCCATAAGTGAAGCCTCCAACAGTATAATGTCCTTATTATCACACTGATACCAATCAAATGTCTCTGCCAACCTAGAGGCCATATAATTTAATAGAGGGTACCCCAGTCCTCTATCCTTTATCAATTGAGCATGTCAGAACTGACATCACCACCTGTGGAAGTTTCTCTGCCCAGACAAACACTCCCAGGTTAGGAGAATAGAGGTTTTTACTAGCGAGGATATAGTATTCTAAAAATAGCGTTCTTGGTAAGACATTAGTCTGAACAGTAGCAGGCTTGCCCTTCCAGGGGAGAGGATGTGGTTTCTGAACAGCGAATCATCTTTAGCATCTCTAATCATTTTATTATGACTGTCTTGTACAGTAAAATAGAGGACATGAGCATATTGATGACAGCCTCCAACAAAACCACAAATTAGCTGTACCCTTTTCTGAGAAGTGTACAGGAAACCAATCACAGCTCTCCAGGTCCTGATTGCATTCATACTAGATCACCACTTGGGGCTGTGTTTGATGACAGTTTAGAAACTTAAGCAGCAAGGCTGTTTACTGGCACAGCATAGGGAACTCATCTCGTCCGCTCTAGGAGAATTTCATTGGTTGCCAATCAGTTTCATCCTTTAGTTCAAAGTACCAGTTATTACTTTTAAAGCCCTAACCAACCCAAGAGCAAGTATTTGAAGGACTGCCGGTTTCCATGCAAATGCATATTTTAGGACTCTGCTGCTGTTTTCCTATTGCAGTCATTGCTGTTATTCGGACAGTAGCTTATGCTGTGGCTACGTAATAATCATCTACATCTTTATAGCCCACTTTTCTCCTGACCAGTGTGCCAAACTCGGGCCTTGTTTGCCATATGGGTTTCTTAACTGCCAGTCTGACTTTGGCTCTGTATGCTTATCATCCTGTTTCCTTCTGGCTGGCCCTTGAGGGGGGAGCATGTGAGTGTGCATCTGTGGAATGTAACCCTATGCTTGCAGGTGTTGGAGAAGGGCTAATGGTGCACAGTAGATTTTGGCGGGCTGGATGTATTGGTATGATTGGACTGGTCGATACCGGGTAAATTGGTGGAAACCATTATTAAGGAAAGAATTAGTAGGCACATAGATGAACAAAACCTATTGAGGCAGACTCAACATGGGTTCTGTAAGGGAAGATCTTGCCTCAGTAACCTGTTAGTGTTCTTTGAGGGGGTGAACAAACATGTGGACAAGGGGGATCCAATAGATATTGTTTACCTTGACTTCCAGAAAGCTTTTGATAAAGTTCCTCATCAAAGGCTCCTAAGTAAGCTCAAAAATCATGGGATAAAAGGACAAGTCCTTTTATGGATCAAAAACTGGCTAATTAATAGAAAACAGAGAGTGAGTATAAATGGGCAGTTCTCTCAGTGGAGGGGGGTAAGCAGTGGGCTACCGCAGGGATCAGTACTTGGTCCACTGCTTTTTAACTTGTTTATTAATGATTTGGAGTTGGGAGTAAGCAGTGAAGTGGCTAAATTTGCGGATGATACGAAGTTGTTCAGGGTGGTGAAAACCAGTGAGGATTGTGAGGCACTCTAAAGGGATCTGTCAAAGATGGGCGAGTGGGCGTCAACATGGCAAATGGGATTCAATGTGGCCAAGTGCAAGGTGATGCACATTGGAGCCAAAAATCCTAAATATAAATACACGTTGATGGGGTCTGAACTGGCAGAGACTGATCAAGAGAGAGATCTTGGAGTTGTAGTAGATAACTCACTGAAAATGTCGAGACAGTGTGTGACTGCAATAAAGAAGGCCAATGCTATGCTGGGGATTATTAGGAAGGGTATTGAAAACAGATCAGCCAATATAATAATGCCCCTATATAAATCAATGGTGAGACCTCATTTGGAATACTGTGTGCAGTTCTGGGCACCACACCTTAAAAAGGATATTATAGCTTTGGAAAAAGTGCAGAAAAGGGCAACTCGAATGATAAAAGGGTTGGAACACTTTCCCTATGAGGAAAGGTTAAGGCGCTTAGGGCTCTTTAGCTTGGAGAAATGACGACTGAGGGGTGACATGATTGAGGTTTATAAGATTATGCATGGGAAAGAGCAGGTAGAGAAAGAGGTACTCTTCTCCCTTTCTCACAATACAAGAACTCGTGGGCACTCCATGAAATTGCTGAGCCGTCGGGTTAGAACGGATAAAAGGAAGTACTTCTTCACCCAGAGTGATTAACACTTGGAATTCACTGCCACAGGAGGTGGTGGCAGCTACAAGCATGGACGGCTTCAAAAGGGAATTAGATAAGCATATGGAGCAGAGGTCCATCAGTAGCTATTAGCCACAAGGTATAGATAGGGACTCTGGAGCAAGTGATGCTCTGTCATCTTGGTGCTTGGGGGGCTCAACAGTGGGATGGCTTCTAATGTCCTGGCCCCACTGCTGGACCTCCTGATGGCACTGGTATTTCTGGCCACTGTGGGATACAGAGTGTTGGACTGGATGGGCCTTTGGCCTGATCCAACATTGGCATCTCTTATGTTCTTATGGGGGGTGTCTGTTTGAATTATGTATAATATGAGAACTGCTGCCAAGGGAGTTAGTTCTGACACAGATCGTCCACGCTTGAAACCTCTTTATTTCTCAATAAACAAATCACTGCCAAGAGAGTTGTTGGGAGTGAGTTTTGTTCAAGACCTGACACAGTGGGACTCAAAGTAGTAGGGAGTTTTTAAATTGTTTTGATGTGCTCTATTTTATTAATGTTAATTTGGAAGCTCATTTTGACTAAGAGTGCAGCATATATATCCCTTTCCATTGCTAGTGACTTTGATAACTTTAAATTAATATAATCATTGGGAATAAGTCTATTAGCAGCTAAAGAAAATCTCTTTAGGGGAACTTCCTCTTCCTGCTTGCAGGCTTCTCAGAGGCCTTTGGCCATTCACTGAAACTGAACGCTGAACTAGATGGCCCATTTGTCTTATCTTAGGCGCTCTGTGTTTTTTCAAAAGTGTAAAGGGAAAACTCCATGTTTTAATAAAATTTTCATGTTGGCTTTGTAAGCTTACAAAGTGACAGGGGAAATTGAGAGCTTGTAATCTTGGGGTTCCTAGACAACTTCTGATGCAACTGATTAAAAGATCTGAATTGGTGGCAAGCAGTACCCTCAATTGCTGAAGATGATTTTTCATGGTTACGAGTTTGACCTGAAAGACTACTGTGGCTTCTCTTTGTAGCTGTTCTTAGAGTGGCTGGGTCCTTACAGAAGAGCACGGAAGTCATGAGGGCCATGCAGAACTTAGTGAAGATACCTGAAATTCAGGCTACAATGAGAGAATTGTCCAAAGAAATGATGAAGGTAAGTGTAGCAGCTTCTTCGTTCTTCTTGTATAATCTGGAAACAGATTATAGCAAAAGAAGGGGTGTTAGCTGTGGGGCAGTACTTACTTCAGAGCATGTCTCCTCTGCTTGTCTTCTCTTCCAGTTGTGGCTGCTTGAACATCCCTTCCTGGCATTTGTTTTCCCTTTTCTGTGTGGCTTTTATAGATAACAAGTGGGGACCCACAAGGACTTGCGGGAGGCATCCCACTTCCACCTCTCCCACTAGTTCCTCTTTCCCGCCCTTTCCTGAAAGCCCCCATAGTTTTCCCCCTTTCCTGTGTCCTCTCCTTCTACAGTTGCCAACCTCCAGGTGGGGGCTGGGGATCTCCTGGTATCACAATGTATCTCCCAACTACAGAGATCAATTCCTCTTAGGGTTGCCAGATAGAGGTTGGGAAACCCCTGGATATTTGGGGGGATATTTGGCGGTGGAACCTTGGGAGGGTGAGGTTTGGGGAGGGAAGCAACCTCAGCAAGGTATAGTGTCATTAAGTCCATCCTCCAAAGCAGCCATTTTCTCCAGGGGAACTGATCTCTGTCATCTGGAGAGCAGTTGTAATTCCAGGTGATCTCCAGCCCCCACCTGGATGTTGGCAATGCTAGTTCCCCTGGAGTAAATGGCTGCTTTGGAGGATGGAGTTTATGGCATTATATGCCCTCCTCAAACACACCATCCCCAGGCTCCCCCGCAAAAAGAATTTTCTAGGACTTTCCTAGCCTCTTTCCTTCCTCCTGGCAATCCCCCCCCCCACATGATCTCCCTGCTTCAGCTACATGTATTATTTGTATTCATTCATACCCCACCTTTCTCCACAGTGGGGACCAAGCAGCTGGCAGTTTTCTTTTCTCCACCTTTTTATCCTGTGAGGTAGATTAGGGTGAAAGTCTGTGACTGGTTCAGAACTACCCACTGAGCTTCCACAGCAAGATGATGGGGATTTGAACTTGGGTCTCACAGACCCTATTCTGAAACTCTGACCACTACACCAGATGGTTTTCGTAGGGTGGCTGCTGTTGAACGTGTTACTGTTGAAAGTGGTCCAGGCCTAATTAGGTCACACCAGTCAGGTGGTATCAAGTCACCCAGAGGTTGCTTCCAGGCCTAGGGTTGCCAACCTCCAGGTGGGACCTGGAAACATCCCAGAATCACAACTGGAATCCAGACAACAAAGATATGTCCCTCTGGAGAAAATGACTGCTTTGAAGGGTGGACGCTGTGGCATGAGGCCTCTCTCCTCCCCATCACAGCCCTCCTTAGACTCTACCACAAAATCTCCAGGAATTTCTCAAACTGGAGTTGGCAACCCTGGGCCCAGATCTGGCCACAAAGACTCCTCCCTCAAAGGCCAAAAAAGGCATGGAAAGGGCCCTGCCCTTGCTTCTTACTGACAGAACCCAGCCTAGGATACTGTGGTTGCCTAGAGACAGCCACTGAGGAAATCTGTTGCTTAAAGCAACAGATTCTCCTTTTATAATTTTTTATTGTTTAAAATGCCTAGTGTTGTTTTAGATGTCACATTTTTCTGCAAACCTGGGCCCCTTTTCAGGTTTGTAGAAAAATCTATCTTGCACATTCACAGTTCAATCACCAGTAAGTATCCAAAGATATCCCAACTTTGCTATTAGAATATAAGATATAATGCAGATGATTAGAGCAGTCCAAGCTATGGCTGAGAAAGAGGCCAGATTTCCGGAAAGAACTATATTGTCCTGTTCTTTGTATATGAAACATCTTGTCTGCTAGCATCTTCATCTTAATTCCTTCAGGCAGGTATTATAGAAGAGATGCTGGAGGATACTTTTGAAAGCATGGAGGATCAAGAGGACATGGAAGAGGAGGCAGAGATGGAAGTTGATAAAATTTTGTTTGAAATCACAGCTGGTAAGTATGAGAGTGTACGTGTGTATGAACGTGTGTGTGTTTCTGTTAGTGCCTAGTCCTCTCCTTTCTTTACAGTGCCATTGCTCTGTTAGACTTCAGTGTGGCAGGTAGTGCTGAGTCAATGAGAGCACCAGGTGCTGTACGCTGTTGAGTAGCCATCGGTAGACCTTCAGAGGAATCTGAACGTCACTTTCATGACTCACTAGGCCTGCCTGGGAGGGATGTTCTGGAGCACATATGAATTCTATTGGATCGGTAAAAACTGTGTCGTAATAGTAAGCAATGGGAGTAAGCAGTGAAGTGGCTAAATTTGCAGATGATACGAAGTTGTTCAGGGTGGTGAAAACCAGGGAGGATTGTGAGGCACTCCAAAGGGATCTGTCAAGGATGGGCAAGTGGGCGTCAACGTGGCAAATGGGGTTCAATGTGGCCAAGTGCAAGGTGATGCACATTGGAGCCAAAAATCCTAAATATAAATTCACATTGATGGGGTCTGAACTGGCAGAGACTGATCAAGAGAGAGATCTTGGAGTTGTAGTAGATAACTCACTGAAAATGTCAAGACAGCGTGTGACTGCAATAAAAAAGGCCAATGCTATGCTTGGGATTATTAGGAAGGGTATTGAAAACAGATCAGCCAATATCTTAATGCCCCTTTATAAATCAATGGTGCGACCTCATTTGGAATACTGTGTGCAGTTCTGGTCACCACACCTCAAAAAGGATATTATAGCTTTGGAAAAAGTGCAGAAAAGGGCAACTCGAATGATAAAAGGGTTGGAACACTTTCCCTATGAAGAAAGGTTAAAGAGCTTAGGGCTCTTTAGCTTGGAGAAACGACGACTGAGGGGTGACATGATCGAGGTTTATAAGATTATGCATGGGATAGAGGAGGTACTTTTCTCCCTTTCTCAAAATACAAGAACTTGTGGGCACTCAATGAAATTGCTGAGTGGTCGGGTTAGAATGGATAAAAGGAAGTACTTCTTCACCCAAAGAGTGATTCACACATGGAACTCACTGCCACAGGAAGTGGTGGGTGCTACAAGCATGGACGGCTTCAAAAGGGAATTAGATAAGCATATGGAGAAGAGGTCCATGGCTATTAGCCACAAGGTATAGATAGGGACGGGGGGGGAAGTGATTCTCTGTCTTCTTGGTGCTTGGGTGGGGGGGGGTCAACAGTGGGAGGGCTTCTAATGTCCTGGCCCCACTGCTGGACCTCCTGATGGCACCTGGTAGTTTTGGCCACTGTGTGACAGAGTTTTAGACTGGATGGGCCTTTGGCCTGATCCAACATTGGCATCTCTTATGTTCTTATGTTAAAATGTTGAATTTGCCTTGGGCGCAGACAGAAATTTACTACACCCTTGAATATGTGCAGTTAAAGTCTCTTATGTTCTCTTTAGCCTAAAGAGACACGAGGAAAGTTCTCTGTTGGTTGCTAGCTTCCCTCCAGTCCTGTAGTTGATCATAGAATCATAGAGTGGGAAGGGACCTCCAGGGTCATCTAGTCCAACCCCCTGCATAATGCAGGAAATTCACAAATACCTCCCCCTCCACATTCACAGTAACCAATGTTCCACACCCAGAAGATGACAAAAAACCTCCAGGATCCCTGGCCAAACTGGCCTTTAGAAAAATTGCTTCCTGACCCCAAAGTGGCAATCAGCATTTCCCTGGGCGCATAAGATAAGCACTGAGGCAACCCTTCCTGCCCTCCCTCTCATGAGCTGCCTAAGTTCACACAATCAGCATTGCTGTCAGATGGCCATCTAGCCTCTGTTTGAAAACCTCCAAAGGAGAGCCCATCACCTCCTAAGGAAGCCTGTTCCACTGAGGAACCGTCTGAACTGTCAGGAAGTTCTTCCTAATGTTTAACCAAAAAATCCTCTTATTTAATTTCAACCCGTTGGTTTTGGTCCAACATTCTGGGGCAACAGAAAACAGCTCCACATCATCCTCTATATGACAGCTCTTCAAATACTTGAAGATGGTTAGCATATCAACTCTCAGTCGTCTCCTCTCCAGGCTAAACATACCCAAATCCTTCAACCTTTTCCTCATAGGACTTGGTCTCCAGACCCCTAACCATCTTCTTTGCTCTCTTCTGGACACATTCCAGCTTATCTATGTCCTTCTTAAATTGTGGCAACCAAAACTGAACAAAATAAGGTCAAACCAGAGCAAAGTCACTTCACATGATCTGGACACTGTACTTCTGTCGATACAGCCCAAAATTGCATTTGCCTTTTTAGCAACCGCATCACACTGCTGACCCCTAGATCCTTTTCGCACATACTACTGCCAAGACAAGTCTCCCCCAACCTATAATTATGCATTTGATTTTTCCTACCTGGAGAACTTTACATTTATCCCCATTAAATTCATTTTATTTGTTTTAGCACAGTTTACCAGCCTGTCAAAATCATCCTGTATCTTTGTCTTCTACCATATTTGCTACCCCTCCCAATTTAGTATCATCTGCAAATTTAATAAGCAATGCCTCTATCCCTTCATCCAAATCATTGATAAAGATGTTGAACAAAACCGGTCCCAAGACAGATCCTTGAGGCACATTCACAAGCACTCTTTGGGTGCGATCTGTCAACCAGTTACAGATCCACCTAACAGTCATAGGATCCAATCCACATTTTACCAATTTGTCAAAAAGAATATTATGTGGAACCTTACCAAAAGCCTTAGTGAAATCCTGATAAACTATGTCTACAGCATTCCCCTCATCCAGCAAAGTAGTAACTTTCTCAAAAAAGGACTTGTTCTTGAGAAACCTGTGCTGGCTCTTAGTAGTCACAGCCGTCCTTTCTAAATGCTCAAGGACTGTCTGTTTGATGATTTGTTCTAAAACTTTCCCAGGTTTAGATATCAAGCTGACAGGTCGGTAGTTCCCCGGATCCTCCTTTTCCCCCTTCTTGAAGATGGGGACAACATTTGCCCCCCTCCAGTCTTCTGGCGTCTCACCTGTTTGCCAAGAATTCTAAAAAATAATGGACATAGGGTCAGAAATTACATCTGCAAGTTGTTTTAGTACCCTTGGATGCCATTCATCTGGCCCCGAGGACTTCGTTTCATTTAATGAAACTACCCCTATGCCAGTTCTAGGCTGCAGCTCCCTTCCCTCATGATGTGTTGCTTTTGCCATCTTGAGCACTGTTTCCCTCACAAGAGAAGACTCAGGAAAAGTAGGAATTGAGCGGTTCTGCCCTCTCTTCATCACGTGTTACCATTTAACTTTCCTGTCCCCGCAATGGGCCTACCGTGTCCTTGCTCCTTTTTCTTACTTTGAACATAAGAACCCTTTTTTTTTTAGCATCTCTCGCTAGCCTAAGCTTATACTGAGCTTTAGCTTTCCTAACATTCTCTCTGCAAGCCCTGGTCATTTGTTTATATTCATCCTTGGTTATAAGGGCCTCCGTCCACTTTCTGAATGAGTCTTTTTTATTTCTCAAGTCTTTAGAAAGCTGTTTCTGGAGCCACCTTGGCTTCTTTAGGCTCTTCCCATTTTTCCTTCTCATAGGAAGCGTTTGTGGTTGTGCCTTCAGTATTTCGCTTTTGAGAAACTCCCGTCCCTCTTGAGCTCCCTTCTCCTGAAGTATTTCTGACCAGGGGATTCTACCCAGCATAACTTTTAAGTTTGTCAAAATTTGCTTTCCTGAAGTCCAACCTATATGACTACGTACAGCTTTTACCTTCCCCAAGACTGTAAATCCCAAAATTACATTGGTCACTACTACCCAGGGTGCCCACTACTCTCACCTTGTCAACCAGTTCTTCCCTGTTGGTAAGAAGCAAGTCCAAGATAGCAGATCCCCTTGTTTCCCTCTCCACTTTCTGGAAAATGAAGTTGTCAGAAAGACAAGTCATGAATTTATTGGACCTTTCATTTTTAGCAGAGTTGGAGTTCCAACAGATATCCAGGTAATTGATGTCTCCCATGACCACCATGTCCCATCTCTTTGAGAACTTTGTAATCTGTTCTAGGAGTATCTCATCTAAATCCTCTGCCTGGCTTGGTGGTCTATAGCAGACCCCCCACCACCATAATATCACTATTACTTCTTACTCCTTTTATTTTTACCCAGAGACTCTCAACTAGACTATTCATGTATTTCCTCCTAAGTATATACCTCCCTTACATATAATGCCGCTCCTCTGCCCTTCCTTATTAGTCTGTCCCATTTAAATGAGTTATACCCCTCAGTCCTAATGTTCCAATTTTGAGTGTCATCCTACCAAGTTTCAGTAATGCCTACTAGGTCATAGTCCCCTTCCTGTATTAGGACTTCAAGTGTTGGTGAAGCTGGTTCATAGAAACAGGAAGACGTTGATATAAAATTGACTGTGTATTTCAGACAGTTAAATTGAAGGTTTGCACAGCACCAGCAGGATTCTGGGTTAACATTTTACTGTATCCTTTCAGTTGTTGATATTTCTCCTTTGTTTCTTTTCAGGAGCCTTAGGTAAAGCACCTGGTAAAGTTACTGATGCCCTTCCAGAGCATGAGCCCGAAGGGGCTACAGCGGCCATTGATGACGATGAAGAAGATATTGAAGCCATGCAGTCACGGTTAGCTACTCTCCGTAGCTAAGAGTAGAACTCCTGTACAGTTTGATTCATTTTCGCCATGGGCTGTTCAGTTATGCCTTTACAATGTAAAACTGCACACACAAGATTTTCCTGTATATATCTTTCTATATGGAATGCAAGTGGTGTGTGGTGTGTGTATATATATATATTCTTTAAAAGCCCCACTTTTGAATCTATGCTTTAATTACTGTCTCTTCAAAATTACTTCTATGGGCTGAGACAGCCAAAATAAGCAGCATTGTGCACATTTCTGAAGTGATACTACTGGACTTTAATAAACAGCTTTGAACATTTTACTGCCAGTGAGCTGATAAATTTCTTTCAGGTAGATGGGTTGACTACATTTACCAGTTTCCAAGAATTTCCTCTACCAAAAGGTATCAAAAATGACAACACAGTTAATTCTATATTAATTCTATATTTTCTGAAATTTCTTTGCCTTTACTGTACAATTCAGAATAAAACTTATAAAACTGTGAATTTATTTCAGTAGAGGCAGTAAGTTGTATTCTCTTTTTTGATCAAAGGAATATAGTTCCTTTGCTGTCTTAAACAATATACTAAAATTTTACCCGGCCTACCATGGCTTTCTGAGATGACTGGTGGAGGCAAGTTAAAGTGCATCCTGCTTTCGGTGACCAAGGAAACACTGCTGCGTTGGTGGGTGCTGAGAGACGAGTCCCTCCGAAGAAACGAGTAGCAGAGCAATTGCTGAAGATCATCAAACCCACAGATAAATATTCCCTCTTGCTTATTCGTGTGGGGATGGATGGCACTGTACCACACAGCCTGGAACATATATGGAACAGTAACAGAAGACTCAGGGCACGGGTTGTTTTTTCCCATCACTTCTTCCTGTGGTTGCACAGGGAGCAGAAACGGCAAGGATAGTGGAAGTGACTAATTTGCTATGTTGGTGATGTCACTGTGGAGGGTTTGGCTTTCTGAACAGTGGGTTGTTATACTCATGGGGGGGGGGACACACGGTCTTCTGGCATGGGATGATGAGCTGCATCTTGCAGCAGCTGGTAGAGTATATTTGATACCAGTCTTGCTTATCTGATTATAAGCAGCTTATTCCTCTCTTTTCTCTAAGTGGGATCTAGGCTGGCCTCTTGTTTTCTGCCTGAGCGCTTTCCCCCCAGTGAGCTCCTGCAAGAGGACCAGGATCTATATAGTATGAGTGTGCAGCTGTGTCTTCTGCCTGTTCTCATGTCTTATTCCCCTCCCAGGAGCCAGGTCCCTTTCAGGTGCGATCTCTCCCCCCGTCTTTCAGTTGGGAGTACATAGGAACCAAAGGACTGCTCTGTAAAGATGCCCTTACTTACTCATCCAACTCAGTGGTGGGTGGCCCTGGGCTGCTGAAGGGGGAGGGGGGGATTTCTGGGTCCCAGCTGGAGGTCCCCTGAGGCCCCAGCATCATTCTCTGTTTGGCCAATACATCTCCATTTGTTTCTTTGTAGCCAGTTTGGTTGTAGTGGTTAAGAGTGGCAGTGGGACTCTAATGTGGGAGAGCCGGGTTTGATTATTCCCCCACTCCTCCTCCTCCCCCGCATGCAGCAGCAGCTGCTGGTGTGACCTTGGGTCAGTCACCAGTTCTCTCGGCGGCAGTCCCCAGGAGAGCTCTGTCTGGGCCCCGCCTCCCTCGCAGGGTGTCTGTCTGTTGTGGGGAGGGGAAGGGGGGGACAAGGGTGGGTTGTGAGCCGCTCTTGAGACTCAGGGCCGGGCTGCAGCCTCTGGCTGAGGTTGGCTGTTTCCAGCGGTCCGTTTCCTCCTTCCCTTTCCCGTTCCCGTTCCCCTCCCCTCAGGTTTTGTTTCCTCAGCCTGACCAGACCTTGCCCGGAGGCGGCAGCCGCCCCGTGAGTGTGGTGCTGCTGCTGTGGTGGGCGATAGGACCCTTTCCTCTGTCCTCAACGCCTTTCCCCCCCCCCCTTCCTCCCCGA